TTATAAAGTGCATCAAGAAATAACACAAAAGATACTGTGCAAAAATAGTATCAGGGTGTGGGGCCCATTTGAGCTGTAACAGGAAGTGCCAAAGCACTGAACTTGCTGCTGCCCCTCCAGAGGTGCCAGCTCTGCTACAGACCCCATCAGCACCAAACCATGCGCCTGGAAATAGCAACCCAGAGCTCTGGGAGCAGAAAGCATGGACCAGCAGCTCACAGAGGAAACCAAACCACCCAGATGGCATCAGCAGGGGCTATGTCACTCCATGCACAGCAGGGTTTGACCCTGGTCAGTCTACAGAGCCTCAAACGTTTTCCTCTGGCAGTATGAGGCACCCAATATGGAATTAAACTGTCAGGCATCAGGACGGCTTTTCTTAGCCACTGGAGACTTGTGATCCTTCACAAATACCTTCTAGCAGCCCCTGGTTAGCCAGGACTCTGGTGGAAATGTCTGGGCAGGAACTGAAAGGAAACGTTATAGAAAGAGTGCAGGAGGAGCAAGACTCCAAAAAATTCAGGTCTGCTACCTGAATCCCTCTGCTCACCATATGGCTGCCTGAAAAAGCTGGATACAACAGAGCACCACTGCGAGTTTATCCTTTCATGTATAAAATCTCTCCATAGCTGCTCACGCAAACACAAGGCAAGAAAACAACAGGTACAGTCAACTTTAATGAAATAATTGTCAGTTATATGTACAGCTATAACAGAGGGAAAAACCAGCTACAGAAAGGATGCAAACACAACTCTGGACGTGGAGAAACTGTCACAGGGGCTGGGCTGGACTACAGCATTTCTGCCATTCTCTTCCTCTTTTGAAGACACGTTTCACCCAAAAGGCAATACTGAAATACATGAAATCCTCCCGAAACTGCTTAGCAGGCTGACAGAAGATGACAGCCTGGCCCCACAGGGTCATTTCATGTTTCTTTACCAGCGCCCAGACCTCCTCCGCAGCCACCACCAGTGAGGCCCCACAGAGCTGCTGCGGCCCTTTGCTCAGCACCGCCCAGCGTAATCCCGTAACAACCTCCAGCATCAGTATGGCTCTTCTCAGGGGACTGCAGCAGGTACATAGGAAAGTCCTTAAAAAGTCCCTTTCAGAAGTATGGCAAAATACCTGGAAAGACCAGTATGAAGTACAAAGCCATTGAAATTGTACACACTGAATTATTGATATCTGATAACTTATTAAATAAATCCACAGAAAAAGAAGACACTTTTTTTTTTTAACATCCTGTGATTTTTTCTTAAGTTTAACTTGCACAGAAACAAGCTGTGGCACTCGCTGCTCACAGTCCTCTCGTAACAACGGAGATGCTTTATCAAAGTTTAAAACATGGTTGCGCACCAGGTACTATGAAAGTTTACAGCCCTTGTATTTTAACAGGAATCCAAATCCTATGCTGGGAAGGGAAATCTCAGCACACTGCCTATGGTCAGTGAGCAATTGCCAAGCAAGGCTGCTATTTCTGTGTCAGCCGAGAAATACGCAGGAGAATTTTCTCAGAAGAACAGGCTGACTTGCTCGCAGCTGTACGTAAATCCCAGCTGCGCAGATGCAATTCCACATTATTAAAAGGCCCCTTTCTCTTGGAGAGCTGGTAGTTAGAGGTGATGCTCATACACACACACCACGCTGGTGCAGACCCCCTCGGAACAGGGCAGTTTGTGGGGTTTATGGCAGTTGGCCTGTCCAGACATTTTACAGCCAGGTCCCCAGGCCCTCATGTCTAGATTTTTTCCCTGAGGACTTTGGTAAGATTGCTCCAGCATTTCCCTGCGTGTATCAGCGCAAGCTACGTGACATGCCGGAGCCAGCCAGAGCCCAGCAGCAGTGAGCCAGGCATAATGCACATTTCCCAAGGGATGCCCGGGCTTGGCTGAAGTCAGGCAGGCTTTGCAGCGAGGGGGGAGCTGGAGCAGTGCGGGACAGGCTGCCGCCAGCACCCAGGGACGCCAGCAGCACTCAGACCAAATCAAAGGAATTTTAGTGCCAGCAGTTCCCCAAACTATGTCAGCACGGAGGCAATAGTTGACTGCTAACACGCATGCAGCTCACTGCTATTTATATCACATGCCATATATCAAAAATATGCTACATCCGAGGACAGCTTCACCACAACATCTTGACTGGAATGGAGGAAGGCAAGGGAAGGAGAGGGGCTGCCCACAGCAGGCACACTCCCGCCCAGCCCGCACCACCGATGCTGCTGGGAATTTTGCCTATTGAGCTTAATGGTGCGAGAATGGCCCCTGGCAGGCTGTCCAGCTGTCCTTTCCTTGGCATTTGCACAGCCCAGGCTCAGCAGCGCAAGTGACTGATGCTGTGCTTTAACACGTGTGGAAATGCACAGGCATTTGACAGGAGAAGAGGCCGAATGAAAACCACCACTCACTGCAGTCATCCAACTTCATGCGACACAACAGCAGGGGTGACCACGGTTTCTGGCATCTGTACATAGCAAGTACCTGTTTGCAATACTAAACACTGGCCTGAACCTGCCTGGCATTGACATCTTCATGTTAACATCGCAGTCACTTCACTCTGCCTCGTCTCTGCTGAACCCCAGGGCAAACCTCCAACCATGTCTGACGTGCTCCGAATACAGCCCAGCAGCGGGTTGGGCGCTCGACACCTCTTGGAACCTCTCACTAAATGCATGGTACATACAGATTTACAGCATGAACAGTGGAGAAACCTGGCATGGATGATGGTAGAAGTGTGGCCTTGACATAAAGATGCCAATAAATGAAAATACAGTCACTGCAATGCCTTCCTTTTTCCGCAGCTGTGGTCAATGGCGCTGCCTGAAGCCCTAGCCCCAGGGGACACACTGTACATAGCAGGATCTGCCCCATGTCCCAGGATCCATTCCACATAGACACACAACTGAATGGGCATGCAGAATTAACTACGCCCTGGCCCCAGCAGCCCTTCGAGCTCTCTAAACACACCCCAGGCCAAACAGAGCTTTCAATCACTCCCTGTACTCTTTATTTTGGGGGCATCACCGCCATCACAGAAAACTATTGTGTTTATTCTGCTCCAGGGCCATTTCATTGACCAGCTGCTCTATGGACGACTGAATGGCTGCCTTCACAAGGGAAGAGGCGGTTTCTATGAGGAGCAATTCATACTGCTCCCCAGTTCTGTGCTCCTGGTCACCTTGAGCTTTCTCATCCGCTTGGGCATCACCACCAGCCTCAGGACCCTCTTTTTTACCAGAATCAAAGCTGCTGCTTGATTTTTTATTCCCTTTTTGCTTATTTCGGTGCAAAACAGGGGATGGCTCATAGGCCTGGTCAGAGTCGGTGTTGTCAGAGTCCTCGGCTTCGGTGACAGTGATGACGATGCCAACAGCAGTGCCTATGTTTGCTCCTAATATCACCTGATGGCTGGAGCTGTCCTCCACGCTCGCTGCATCATCTTTAGATGCTGACTGACTGAATTCCGTTACGGTCTCTTCAACTTTGCATTCCTCAGGAAGATTTATGCTCTTTTCTGATTCATTCCCTTCAGGCGGCTCTTTGCAGATATTAGGGATTTCCTGCAGCTCAGTGGTTTCTGGGGTGCTGTCAGGTTGATCCTTGGGAACGGGCACTTCAGCAGCAACCTCACCACCTTCCACATGGACTGTGGTTTCAGGTGGGCTCTCCTCCTGCAGTTTTTCCTGGGGTGTTTCATTAACTGTCTCTGAATCAGTTATCTCTGACTCGATGGTGCACTCCGTATGTTCCTCTGCATCAGGTGTGGGCTCTGTCAAGGGCTCACTCTTATCAACAGAGCTGGCACTTTCCTTTGCTGTATCCTGGTCCTCCTCTGCAGAGACCGGGCTTAAGGATTCAGACTTGTCCACCGGGGACAAATCTTCCAGCTCTTCACTAGCTTTATTCACAATACCCATTGCTTCATTTGCTTGAACGCTGCCCTCTGACTCCTCCACTGCTTCGGAGAGGCTGGGTTTTTTCTTGCCTCTGGAGAACCGTACACAGGGCATCTTCACCCCAGAGCAAACCCGTTTCTTCGGGACACCTTGCGCACAGCCCTCCTCAGCATCCACCTCCAGCCGCACTTGGGAATCAGAGGGCACCTTCTTCCGTGAGGATTTCTGCCTTCTCCGAGGCCTTGCGAGGTTTTTGATGGCTGTCCAGGCTCCTCTGGAGGATCGTGACTGGTTAGAAACTTTCACCTCCCCTTGGTCAGTGCTGACACATTGGCTTTTCTCTTCTGAGGCTCCTTCACATGCATCCCTCATGGTCAGCCCCTTCTTACGGGACTTCTTTCGCTTCTTAAAACAGAGCATGGAGGGTTTTTCTGCCTGTTCCTCTGACGGGGAGCATGTTGCCCCAGTGCTGTGAGTCTCTGCCTCTCTTGGGTTCTCCATTTGAATTTCCTTAGCTGCCTTCACCATATTCACTTAGTTTGTGTCACATTACTGATTTCTTTGATTAATGCATCAGACACAGGAACTGCAGAGATGCTCAAGGCACATTTTTTCCTCAAGTTGTTTTCAAAATAATGTTAGTTGCTTTTTAACGAGCGGATGTGGCAGTGAAGAGAAGTTCTGCTGAAGCTATCACATACGCTTTGCCACTCCCTCTTCGTCTTACAACTCCCTTTACCATCTCTCCAAGGAATCCCGCATAGATGTGAAGTTGAGTAAGCTTCTTATAGGCTTGCTGGCCAGAGTCACTCTCACCTCCGGGACAATCCACTTCCAGTTGCGCTGGGTCCAACAGCACTATCCTTTAATTACCAGTCTGACATTATTTTCTTTTCCCCCAAAGGATGACAATCAAGCCAAAAGTTAACAAGTTTTATTCACCCCATGGGCCTGGAAAGTACTTGCAGTTTCTGAGCTATCTGCAGTTCCACGTTGCCCAGGGAGCCGGGTTGGAGCACCGGTAAAGCCAGAGGCCGGCAGTGGCTGTTTTCTGCCCCCCAGTGACAAGTCAGATGCTGCTTTGTCTAGCTTTGCTTTCTGCTTCAGTTCCCCTCGCAGGTTATGTGAGGTTTGCTGTGAAGCGTGGCCAATGCTTCCATCTTTTATCTGTAACACAACAAAGAAATGATAAGACCTGAAGAGCAATTATTTTTTTTAATTAGAAAAGTATTTCAAAGTGGTGTTTGGTTTGGGGTTTTTTGTTAATATTCATTCTGGGAGGCAGACCAGGGCTGGCTGGAAAAGCAGTTCTGCCTCAGGATGCCCCACAGCAGTTTTTCCCGCTAATTAGCATCAATATCCAGAGGCAAAATAAGGCCACGAAGATGTCAACCCAGCGATGTTCCACCACAGAAAATACTATTTTGCGATTTTGTGTGGTGAAAGGGGACTTACTTTTTTTAACTGTCCATATTACAGCAAATCCATATTACACATGCACACGCATATATTTTCTTCTCCTACGGTTAGCTGAATCTTTTCCCCACCGCTCCATATGCACTCACAGTTCCAGCTAGGGAAATTACACCCTGAGACAGCAGATATTTTTATCTTTAATGCACCATATGACAATATGCAAAAACACAGAATACAAAAAGGAGGCTTGTGGAATACAAAAGCAAAATCACATGGCAAGAAAGGAGCATATTTATACTATGTGCATGTCTTCCATGGCAACCTCAATTAACACCGCATGTGTTCATCAGATATATGATACTGTAAGATGTATGTCACCCTTCAGGAAAAAGAAATAATCGCCACCTCAAAACATCATCCGAACAGTTTTGGATATAAAGACGCAAAAACATGTTACTGCGAACAGACCAACTTCTCCGGGACCAGCTCGGTGGCTCCGGGCAAATCTTACACAGCGTTTTGTACTGTTTTCAGTAGTAAGGTGACTGAACGGGGGCTCGGCCGGGGCGCGCTCCCCGCGGAGCAGATACGGGGCTTTAAAACATAATAAAATATGAATGTTAATTTTTAAAGGGAACAGGAGCAGAGCCGGCAGAGGCGCGTGTGCGAGCGAGGAGCCCGCAGCTCCCGCTGCCCCGA